TCAATAAAGAAACAAATAAAGAAATAAGTAAATGACACCAGATTAGTAAGAAAAAAGTAAAACTATCTCTATCTGCAGATGAAATAGTCCTTTTTTTTTGAGTCAGAGTCTCATTATTACCCAGGTTGGAGTGGAGTGGCATGCTCATGGCCACTGCAGCCTTGATCAGCTGGGCTCAGGTGATCTTTCTGCCTCAGCCTTCCAAGTAGCTGAAACCGCAGGCGTGCACCACCATGCCCAGCTAATTTTTTGGTTTATTGTAGAGATGAGGTCTTGCCAAGTTGTCCTGGCTGGTCTCGCACCCTGGGCTCAGGCAATCTTCTCAACTTCACCTGCCAAAGTGCTGGGATTACAGGCTTGAGTCACCATGCCCAGTGATGTAATCTTGTATATAGCAAATCCAAAGGAATACTACACCAAAAAGCTATTACAACTAATAAATAATATCACCAAGGTTGCAGCATACAAGAACAATACACACAAATCACTGTGTTCCTATACAGGAGCAATGCACAACACAAAAAGGAAATTAAAAAAACAAACAATTATATTACTAGTAGCATCAAAAAGAATAAAATGTTTAGGAATAAATTTAAAGAAGTATAAAACCTATTCCCCAAACTATAAAACACTGTTGAAAGAAAGTAAAGATCTAAATAAGTGAAAAACGTCTCTTGTTCATGAAATGAAAGACTTAATGCTGTCAGGATGGGATGGGCTTGCACTTTGGGAAGCCGAGGTGAGAGGATTGTCTGAGTCCAGGAGTTCGGGACTAGCCCAGGCATCTTGATGAGACCTCGTCTCCACAATAAATCAAAAAATTAGCCGGGTGTGGTAGCGTCCCCCTGTAGTTTCAGCTACTTGGAAGGCTGAGGTGGAAGAACCTCGTCAACCCAGCAGGTCAAGGCTGTGGTGCCTGTGACGTACCACTGCACTCCTACCTGGGCAAAAGAGTGAGACTCTGACTCAAAAAAAAAAAAAAAAAATCATCAGGATGACAGTATTCCCCAAGCTGATTTATGGAAATATAATCCTTATCTTTGTAGAAGTTAACAAGCTGATTCTTAAAATACATATGGAATTGCTAGAAATCTAGAATTGCCAAAATAGTCTTGAGAAAGAAGAACTAAAATTAAGTAGGAGGATATAAACTTCCCAATTTCAAAAGTTACTACAAGGCAATGAAAATGAAGGGATTCTGGAACTGGCACAGGACAGACACACAGATCAATGAAAAACAACTTCCCGTGCTTTGGGAGGCTGAGGTGAGTGGATTGCCTGAACCCGCGGGTTTGAGACCCACCTGGGCAACATGGCAAGACCTCAGCTCTACAATAAATCAAAAATTAGCTGGGCGTGGTAGCGCACGCCTGTAGTTCCAGTTACTTGGAAGGCTGAGGCGGAAGGATTACTGGAGCCCAGCAGGTTGAGGCTGCAGTGGTTGGGAGCAGCCACTGCACTCCAGTCTGGGTGACAGAGTGAGACCTCAACTCAAAAAAAAAAAAAGAAAAAAAAAAGAAAAGAAAAACAACTGACAGTCCAGAAATAAACCATACATTTATTTCTGGTCAACCGACTTTTGACAAGAATATCAAAATCATTTAAAGGGGAAAAAGTTAGTGATGATGGTCATCCTGACTGGAGATAGATGGTATCTCAGTGAGGTTTTAATTTGCATTTCTTTGATGATTAGTGAGGCTGAGTATTTTTCCATGCATCTGTTGGCTGCTTGTATCTCTTCTTTTAAGAAGTGTCTATTCATACCTTTTCTCACTTTTTAATAGGGCTGTTTGTTTTTTTCTTTTTGGCACATGAGTTCTTTAAAAATCCTGTATGTTAGGCCTGTCAGATATACCATTGGTAAGTATTTTTCCCCATTCTGTAGGAAAAACCATCTCTTGATGGTTTCTTTTGCTTTGCAGAATTTTTTCAGTTTGATGAGGTCCCATTTGTCTATCTTATCCCTTCTACACTGTTGGTGGGATTGTAAACTAGTATAACCTCAATGGAAAACAGTGTGGCAATTCCTAAAAGACCTAAAACTCGATTTTCCATACGACCCAACTATCCCCATTCTGGGAATATACCCAGAGGAACTCGAATTACTCTATGAAAGATACCTGCACATGCATGTTTATTGCAGCATTATTCACAATAGCAAAACCATGGAACCAATCATGCTGTCCATCAAAAATGGATCTGGATAAATAAAATGTGGTACATATACATGATGGAATATTACACAGCCATAAAGAACAAAATTATGAACTTTCAGCAACTTGAATGGACTTAGAGTCTATAAAGTTCAGTGATATATCACAGAAACAAAGAACTGAGTACCACATGTTCTTAGTCATAAGCAGAGCTTGAACAATTATAATACTTTAAGAAAGGAACTGGCAGTACTGGAAAACTGCCATAGGGGGCCACACTTCATCAATAAGGGTATCTAATATCAAACCAGGTGAAGTGGGGACCAAAGTGAGGCCCAAACTTTACCTGAATTGTACTTTCCATCTTTAAAATAAGAATGAAAAATAAATACAGCAAAATAAAATAATTTTTAAAATGATACAAGTGCCACCCTCAGCCAACCTATGTGAATAAATGTTCTTAGAACGATCAAAAAAAAAAGAGGAAAGAATACCCTTTTCAACAAATAGTGCTGAGAAACTGGACAGTCTCATAAAAAATAATGAAATCAAACCCTTACCTCACTCACACTGTATATAAAAAATCCAAAATGGATCAAAGACCTAAATTCAAGAGCAAAAGTATAAAAGTCACAGAAGAAAATATATGTCAAATCTTCACAGCCTAGGATATTGGTTAAGCTTTCTTAGATATAAAATCGAAAGCATGAGCAAAAAAAGAAAAAAACAGAAAAATTGGACTTCATCAAAATTCAAACTTTTGTACTTCAAAATAACCCCATCATGAAAATGATACGGCTCCCCACAGACAGCTATGAAATATCTGCAAATCATATATCTGACAAAGGAGTTGTACCTAAAATATAAAAAGAACTCCTGCAGCTCAATGATAAAAGATAAACAATCCAATTAAAACATGGGCAAAGGAGCTGAATACCTATTTCCCCAAAGATGTGGAAATGGCCCATAAGCATAAAGAAAGATGTTCTACATCATCATGCATCAGGAAACACACATCAAAACTCCAATAAGATACCATCTCACATCCACCAGGATTGCTAGAATCAGAAAGCCAGACAATATATGTGGGCATGTGGAGGAATCAAAACCTTTACACATCAACCAGTGAGAATGCAAATTGGTGCAGCCACTCGGGAAAGCAGTCTGACCCAGAAGTGTACTACTTCTAGGCATAATTTCCAAGAGAAATGAAAACATATTTGACACTGAGCCTTGTATATGAATGTTTACTGCATCCATTACCCATCATAAACAAAAGGTCTTTCTGATCTACTAACTCAGTTACCCTTTGTTCACTTACGCTATAATCTAAACATATGTGTACCCCCAAATTCATATGTTGAAACCCAACTCCCAATGCAATGGTATTAACAAGTGCGACCTATGGAAAGTAATGACATCATGAGGGAAGGGCCCTCATGATGGGAGTCACATTCTTATTAAAGAAGCCTGAGGGAGTCTGTTATCACCCTTGGGCCCTTCCCAGACACCCAATCTCCTGGTACTTTGATCTTAAGACTTTCCATTCTCCAGAACTATAAGCAATGAATTTCTGCTATTTATAAACTACACAGCCTAAGGTATTTTGCTATAGTAGCCCTTGTGGATTAAAACATCCCACTTTCCAACTTGCAAATTTTTATTTTCATTTTTTCCCCATTCTTTCTGTCTTTATGGAAGTATATCTTAAAAACACTTCCATTACAATCTGGTTTTTATTTGGTGGGATTTATGGAAAAGATGACATTTTTTGCATGGATTCACTCTCCTACCTTTGGATAAAGGTTGTTTAACTGAAATGTTTGTACATAAATGTAGCTGACACGAAGTTCATCCTGGCTTTCTGTATTTACAGAAATGTGATTATTCTGATATGATCTCTAACTGATTCATGTCAGAATAATCAATATTATTTTTCTAGAGGAGAAAGCATATCTGGAGAAGAAAGGAGGCTCTTCATTGACAGAAAATAAAAGTCTTAGAACATTATTTTATTAATTTACTTAAAAGATAAGATGAAAAACAGTAATTGCTAAAGTGTATAATCATCTTATTTACTGAACATATATTGACTGTCAGTATAGTGCTAAGCTAGGCTAGGCATAACCAATAGAGCTGTGAACTAAATTAACAGCTGCTGTAATTAGCAACTTTTGGAGTGGTCTGTTACTCCACAATACACCGGTACAACTAAATTTATTATTTTAACTAATGGCACATGTTCATGCTAAATTAACATATCCTGAAATACATTTTGTCTTTACTTTTGTCAGAACTTAGCAAAGTTGTGCATGCATAGTAGATACTCAAAATATATATATATATATATATATATATATATTTTTTTTTTTTT